ACTTATTCGCTGTCTCATTAATGGCATTTTCGTAAATACGTTCTTTTTTTCAAAAGAAATAAAGTTAAAACGAGTATTAATAGTTTTTCAAGATTGTTTGAGTAATTTTCAAAAAATAGCATCATTTTGGTCAAAAATCAACTTTGTAAAGTTGTTTTAGTAAAGCTCCCTTGATTTTACTTCCTTTGTAAGTGAGAATTCAACCCCTATCAACTAACCTTGGTTGTTCCATCTACAACTAACTTTACCAAAAATGATTGGTAAGTACACGGTTAAAAAAGATTTGCACTAAAAAATTTTCATAGGATATTAAAATTACTCCCTAGAGTCAACATGAAGAAAAAAAATAATTTATATAACTTGTTTCTTGTTAAAATTATTTATTTTAAAAATATAAAAATATGTTTATCATTAAATTTTGTAGTTATATTATATGTAGATGTATTGGCGAAATAAACTATTTATATTTAAAACTTCAGCTATAAGATGTTGAAATTGTCAAAACTTAATTTCCACATCTCATTTATACAAAAAGAATATAAAATTCCTTTGTATATCAGTTTAACAAAATATATTCAACTTTAATAAATAAAATAATAAAAAATATACAGTGTAGGCTGACTTTAGTATTTTACCAAAAATGGATTGTTCACATAAAAAAATCGCCTAGGGAAAATCTTTTTTACTATATAAACCCACCGCACTCTTTATCGACCTCATAAAACCTAAACCTAAGCTTGACATCAAAATAGAAGAGAAAAAAAAAACATGAGCGCCGTCAAGCTCTGCATGTACGATCTGTAACTCCATCTTTCACACAAACGTTGTTTGTGTTCGAACTTGGAAGATCCGATTCCGCCGTTAGATTGAGTCACCGTCTAGAAAGGTACTTACTCTTACTTCCTTTGAGTAGCGAGCAGGACAAAGCATCATCGTCTAGAGCTAGGTTGAGATTGGTATAGAAGATCAGAACAACAGAGAATCGTCTATAGATAGATCGAGACAAGTTTAGTTAATGGTCTTATGTTTGATGATGCGATCCATTTGTCACCAGTCATGGGTCTTGTTTCGTCGTCCACTGTTCTCTGTTTTTGGTTAAAGAGATATGTTTTCAAGATGGAAAAATTAGGAAGTTGTGATTTTTCTCTACAAGCGAATGGTTCGTGTACCAATGTCCCATTTTTTACTAGATTAGAATAATAGCTATGGTTGATCGGGTAGTAGAAAAATATTCTAAGTCCAACATAGTTATATATGAAACTCTAGTAAAATAATGGTGATCTTGGTAATGGACTAACTGGAAAAAGCATCGGATATATTCGAGGATATGCAAAAGAGTTTTTTCTTGCACTCGAGTGATATGATCCAAAGAAGTTATATTGCAACACATTTTGGATGTATGTGAAAATTGTGTTGCAGTTAGAATTGGTCCCAAAACCAATTAGAAAACGATATAGATTTATCTATGTTTTAGGATAGGATTTTTATGTGTAAGAGGATTTGATTGAAGGAATTGATATTCAAAATATTTGTCGGAAGACTACACACCCCACTTGAGAAAAAGTAAAACGTGGAAGAAGACAATAGAGATATATATATATTCGAGGATATGCAAAAAAAGTGAATGGTTGTATATGTAATTTCTTTTATATTTTTGTACAATGGCCGAAATCTTATTTCCTTTGTAATTTTCTTTGTCTATAATGGCCGAAATCTTATTTTTGCTTATATACTTTTGTTTCCACTTTCCAATCAATTATTCATTTAGCTGTAGAGCATGTGTCTAATTTACATGTTAAAGCGTGGAAACAAATTTAAAATGGGAGGATTGGTTTAATATTCTAAAAAATTTATTAAATTTGAAAAGTAACCTTTGTTTTAAAACTTTTGAAAAATAATATTTTTGTTGAATAAAAAGACAAAAATATCTGGATTGAACATTTAAAATTAAAAGAAATAAAAATTCCGAAATTAATTTTAATTTGTTTATTTAAAATATATTTTGATAACAATAAAAATAAATAAATGTATTTTGATATTATTTTATATTTTAGATATAGATAGAGTAGATATTTAAAGATATTATTAATAAAAAAAAAAAGATATACACATATTTTACAAAGTTGACTTTATCATGTCCATTCAAAGTGTTTATATATGTGTACCACCACCGAAGAAAAGTATACAGTTTGTTCTTCTTTGCACGATTTGGTTAGTTCCTTTTTTTGTGTGTAATATTTGGTTAGTGCATCAAGTTATCGTAGTTCATCCCATTTTTTTTAGATTTTCGTTCATTTGTTTGATATAGCTTTTAACAGTTTTATAATATCATTGTCAAGGTGTTATCAAGAAATCAATATAGTGACAAAAGAATACTCATGGAGCTTAATAACATAGTTAATACAGTTTTTAAGAAGCTTAATTATGACATCTCTGATATCCAATCAAATTGGAATGTCTAGCGAAAGAAGTTAAAGACTTACGAAAAACTAGCAAAATTCGAAGTTCTTTGGTATGTATGTTTTCTATTTTATTGTTTTACTATATGCTATTTTATAACATCTATTACAGAAGTAAGATTTTATTTTACAGAACAAATGTGAGTTGCAAGATTCAGATCAATTTACTCTGCTGAGGTTTAGTGAACAGAAACCTCAAGGACAAAGCTGCAAACAAAATTTTACAAACATGTGCAAACAAATGTAAAATTGCGTCGAAAGAGTTATCGGTCGATATTGTGGACAAGACACCGTTGAAAAAAAAATCTTTAAGAAAAGAAAAATGGAAAAGATACAAGGGTCTCTACAAAATTATGGTATTCTTCAACATTATGCGAAAAGAATGCTACGAAAATATACTGCATACGACCCTTTTGCTAAAGGTTGATCAGGCCAAATCTGATTGGTTTGACTCATGGATGAAAATAGCAGGTTAGACTAAATATTCATTAGTTACACTATTTCATTCGTTTTCTTAAATCATTAATTTTAACGTAATTAAGTTTTGTTTGTAGAGATATGGCTGTTGATTTAGGGATGGGTGATGGTGATGCTGATAAAAAGTTTTTCGTTGAGCTAATGACACCACAGAAGTGGTTAGACGACAAAGTAAGTATTAAATTAATAGTTAGACATTCTGAAATATATTATGTTACTAACTTTTATATATATGTATTTGATCACAGCACATCAACGCTGGTATGTCTTTATTAAGAAGAAGATTATCAAAGGTCCCATGCCCATTTCGAAACAAGAACTTCTCAGAAAATCCAGAAGAATTTGCTTGGAGTGGTAGTTGATCGATGTCTTACCACGATGCGGAAAAACAGAGAAGAGACTTGGGGTGGATGTGGATGATGCTAAACATAAGGAACAATCATTGGATTGCTCAATTCCTAAAAAGGAGATTTATGTGTATGATGGCAGCATATCGCTTATTGATGACAAAGACATGTTTGAATTTGTCAAACCATATGCCAAAGGCCTTGACTTTCCCACTTGACGAAGGCGCAACCGTCGCCCAGTACAATATCAAGAAGTGTAACAAAGTTCCACATAATTTACAATCAGGGGATTGTGGAATATATGCGTTGAAGTATATTGAATGTCTTGCATTGGATTTTGATATGCAAGTTGGTCTCTGTGACTCTAACATGAAGAGCATACGGAAGAAATTAGCAGCAGAAGTATTTGCTGGAGCAGACCATTCTGGAGGGCTTTGAATCTTTTTTTTTTAGTTTTCAATGATTTCTTTTGATTCTTCTTAGAACACGTACGGGATTTTAGTGTTTGGATTCTTTTTGGTTCATTATGGTTTGGTTTATTTTGTTTTGTGCTTTCGATATGACTTTTACTACTTTAATTAATTTGGTTCATTACGGTTTGGTGATTGATCGGTATGATTTTTTATATCGGCTAACATTTTCTTTCAAGTGTCGATTACACTTTCCTTCATCGAAATTTAAGGTAAAATATAAGAATTTGTCATAACAAAAGAACAGAGTCCTACTTGTTTCCAATCCCCCCCTTGTTCTTGAATTTTAGTCCCATTTTAGTTCTCCAAAGGTTACAGGAATTATAATCCGTTGGTTTAGACATGTCTTTGGTTTATCTTATTTGCCTTGGTTTAGTTATCTCAATTGAGACCCGGTTTAATTATGCAAAACTCTTCGTATTTGTAAGGCTCTTTGGCCATTCTGGAATAATTGTTGGAATCTCATCCTTTGATTAATCCTGCAAAAGAGAGAAACAATAGCAAAACCAACGTGGAAGAGAAAAAGACAAGTCACAATAAGTTGTTGTAGTTCACTGTGTGTTGGTGTGATTTAGTCTTGAAGTTGCTTGTGTTTGTTACAA